TTTTGGTGTTCATTAATGAGTTTGCAGACCCTGCTAATGAGTCAGGGTTTATGATCATTGACAGGATCTAGCAGCGCTAATACCATCTGCTCTTGTCTTTTTATTTTCTTATAAATAGTAAGTAAATATAACAGATTTTATTTTTGTTAAGGATGTCGCAGAGGAATATTGGGTAATACGTGTTTACTCTTCCACAGAGGTGTAACCACAAATTTTAACACAACAACACATTAGAGAGTCCATTGGGCCTCCACATTCCATCAGAACGGCAGTCCCCCTACCGAGCTTTGTGCCATTCTAGATCTGACTCTGCAGGATATTAATTGCTTCCATAGTAGTCTGGCACAGGTGCCTGAATTATGTACAAATTCATTATCCACCAATTATCATTATATACTAATTAACAACCAGTTGCTAATGTTGCTTGGATAGGCTATTATTCTACCAGCACGGGGGTCTAAAATATGTTATTTTCTCTGCGTATAAAGCCAACTGTGGTATTTGGTCTTGCAGCAATCAAATGGGCCATGATGGCTTTGGTTACTTGACTACTGGAAAAGCTCCAGACTGCATAGAGGAAATCAATCTACGAGGGATTCATTAGAATAAATTGGCATTTCTTTCAAAAGTTGTTTAGGAGTAACAAAACTTAAAGAACTGCCACAAGAACTGCACTCAAAGACAAAGTATAACTTTTCTTTGGGACAACTTGAAGCACTCATGAAACCTTACATCAAAGATGGAATGTGGTAGCTTGAACATTGATGCATGCTTGATCAGGGCTTCATCTGCTTTGACCATGTAAGGATTTGCAAAGTTGGGTCATCTCACCAAACTGAACATGAGAACAACGTGTATGAAAAAGTGCCATGAAAGCTTGGAATGTCAAAATCCCATCTCTTTAAAATGCTAAGGAAACCATGTGAGTTTACGATAAAGGGAGCTTTTCTGTGTTTCTGTGAACTTCAGAAAGAACCCAGTTCACAGTTTCATGTGCCTTTCTGAGACTTTCTTAGTGAAAATGTTTCATGCGTCTTACTAAGACTTCCTTAAAGAACAAATTTCAGTCAAGAAGGCAGGTGAAAAGCATTCTACGAAAATCATTTTAAGTGGTAAAGTTTACCTGGGTGGTATGGAGTTGCCAGTCCACACCCCAGATCCATTGGTGCCTAGGTTGGTTTATCGGGTTTGGCCTGGTAGTTGAGATACCTGCATTACTATAGACATGTGCGGCTCGTTTTTGTTCAGAATCAAAATACGGACACATTTTTCATTATTCTGAGATTCAGATGTATCTGAATTACAATAGTAATTTGAATCGAACTCAAGTCAAATTAGAAAATGAAACCGAATTAAAAAAAAAGAATAGAATAAACTAGAATAGAAAATAAAGGAATTAAATAGAAAAGAAAATAGATTATATTATTTTATTTTCTATTTTTTATACTAGAGTAAACCAGGATAAAATAGAAAAAAAATTATAGAATAGAAAAAAAGAATAGAATAGAACAAAATAACGGTCTTCTGAAATTCGGATCCATTGGTGCCTAGGTTGGTTTACCGGGTTGGCCTAGTAGTTGAGATACCTGCATTACATTAGACACGTGCGGCTCATTTTTGTTCAGAATCAAAATATGGACACATTTTTCATTATTCTGAGATTCAGATGTATCTGAATTACAATAGTAATTTGAATCGAACTCAAGTCAAATTAGAAAATGAAACCGAATTTAAAAAAAAAAAAAAGAATAGAATAAACTAGAATAGAAAATAAAGGAATTAAATAGAAAAGAAAATAGATTATATTATTTTATTTTCTATTTTTATACTAGAGTAAACCAGGATAAAATAGAAAAAAAAGAATAGAATAGAAAAAAGAATAGAATAGAACAAAATAACGGTCTTCTGAAATTCGGATCCATTGGTGCCTAGGTTGGTTTACCGGGTTGGCCTAGTAGTTGAGATACCTGCATTACATTAGACACGTGCGGCTCATTTTTGTTCAGAATCAAAATATGGACACATTTTTCATTATTCTGAGATTCAGATGTATCTGAATTACAATAGTAATTTGAATCGAACTCAAGTGAAATTAGAAAATGAAACCGAATTTAAAAAAAAAAAGAATAGAATAAACTAGAATAGAAAATAAAGGAATTAAATAGAAAAGAAAATAGATTATATTATTTTATTTTCTATATTTATACTAGAGTAAACCAGGATAAAATAGAAAAAAAAGAATAGAATAGAAAAAAGAATTGAATAGAACAAAATAAAGGTCTTCTGAAATTCGGATTTCGAATAAAATACATTTGAATAGAATAGAAAATATAATAGAACAGAAAAAGAATTAAAAACTATACAACAGAATAGAAAACAGTATAAGCAATTGCTTCCGAAATTCGAATACAATAAATTAGAATAGAACAAATTAGAATAGAACAGATTAGAATAGAATAGAAAAGAATAGAACAGAACACAAAAATAAAAGAATCAAGTATAACAGAATAGAAAAAACAACATAATAGAAAAAATATACCGGTAACTGTGTTCCGAAATTTGAATTTCGAATAGAATAAATTTGAATAGAATAGAAAATGAATAGAATAGAAAAAATAGAAAAACTATACAATAGAATAAAAAAAGAGTATAAGCAATTGTGTTCTGAAATTCGAATACAATAAATTAGAATAGAACAGATTAGAATAGAAAAGAATAGAACAGAACACAAAATAAAAGAATCGAATATAACAGAATAGAAAAAACAATATACGTAATAGAAAGAATTCAATAAATTTAAATAGAACACAATAAAAGAATTGAATAGAATAGAATCAAATAGAATAGAAAAAAACAATAGAAAGAATATATCTGTGTTCCGAAATTCGAATTTCAAATAGAATAAATTTGAATAGAATAGAAAATGAATAGAATAGAAAAAAACAATATAAAATAGAATAGAAAAGAGTATAACCAATTGTTTTCTGAAAGTCGAATTAATCGAATAGAATAAATTCAAAGAGAAAAGATTAGAATGGAAAATAATAGAATAGAAAAATAACAGAACACAAAATAAAAGAATCGAATATAATAGAAAAAAAAAAAAAAAATAGAATAGAAAAAAAACAATATAATAGAAAGAATATAACTGTGTGTTCCAAAATTTGAATATAATAAATTTGAAAAGAAAGAATATAACTTTCTTCTGAAATTCGAATTTCAAATTGAATAATTTGAATTGAGCTGAATTTGACTGAGTTTGGAAAATTTGAATCGAATTTGAAAATGAATAAATGAAATGAATAAATGAAATGAAACAAATTCCGAAGATGATTTAGCTAAAGGAAATTATTTGAAGAACAAAAACACATTTTTTCATTCTGTACATGTCTACATTATATGATCAGCCCCCACCTCAAATTTCTACATATAGCCATCCAATTTAACAACTGTATTAGAGAAGGAGGAGTTGAGAGACAAGTAGAGAAGTGTGCTAGGGTGGATTCCAGTTGTAGGTAGTGACTTATGATTTTGCAACATTCGCATGTGAATATTATACTGTAATGTGATCCAACCAAAAGGAAGACGTCTGGATCATATTTTATGCATTAAAGTAGAGCTATAGGCAAAGGGTTATAACCCAGGTCAGATTTTTTTTTTTTTCTGCCATCTGTACCCCATTATGGAGATTTCTTTTCACTTCCTGTCCCATAGCCATGTGTGTGTCAATAGATGCACACAGTGCCACTCAAGATCAAGCCCACATAAGTACTCCCCCAGCAAGCAACTTGCTGGGGGTACTCGAAAGGTTTCCTGTCCTTCCACCAGTCATCAGTTAAAATGGACCACACTGCCCTATCCAGACCTCCATCAGGACAAAACCTGTACAGGATGTTACGGTTCACCTGAATGAAACACCCTGCACTTGTACTGTTTGCAGGATATTGATTGACCACAAGATGGCGGTGTTTCACCGTTTGACTGTTGCAGACTTGAGTGTGGAAGGGCATTGTTGGACTTGGGGCAGGACTGTGGTGCCTGGGCTGAGGACAGGCTGAATTTCTGGGGGAGTTGGTAAAGGGACAGGATCCTATACAGTCAAAAGCCAGGGACCTTCCTGGAGTGAAGAGAGACTGTGTGAGGACATGTGCTGGACTCTGGCGTTGGACTCGGAGGGCCTGGGCCAGATTGCGTCAAGCCGGGAGGTGGGGGGGGGGGGGAAGAGGAGAGTCGGCCCTGCAGGAGGGCAGACTGTGCAATCATGACTGGTATAATTTTGCTTTCAGAGGGAACAAGAGGACAAGTGGTAACCCAAGCAAGAGACTGTTCTTCACTCTGCTAAGACTACAGACTTGGTGAGAGGGTTCCACAACCCAAATCGTCTTCAGTTACCAGATATCCTGCTGTTTTTTCAGTTACTCTACACTTTGGATCACAGCCTGTCACTTGAAACACAGACTTCTTAATTTTGTACTGTGGCCTACAGCTTTAGTGTTCTCTCCCCCCCCGTCCCCCATTGCTCTGAAGGCAGGACTCCTCCTGCAGCACACCTCAATACCTCAAGCACACTTTTAATACCTCAACTCCAATACATTACAGCTGTAAAGGAACTAGCTTCATCAAGCCAATTCCCTACTTATTGGAATACAAGTTCTATTGGATTCTACTCCCACCACTTTCTCCCTTACTTATCTATATCAGTCTTTGCCTTCACTTACTTCCACAAAGGAACCCTTACGAATTTCGGTACCATCAGTCAAGGGGGGAGTTTTTCTACTACTGTGCCTTTTCAAGAAATCTTGCTCTCAAATTAAAAGGACCTCAATCTTAACCACCTCCCGCCTGCCATATAGTAATATGATGGAAGCAAGGTGGTTCTCTCGTTCTGGGAGGGCGTCATATGACGTCCTCCCATTCTAACCGCGCAGCATGGCGATCGGCGGTGCGCTGTGTCCGATCACCGATCCACGGAAAGAGCCGAAGATGTCGGCTCGGTCATGTGATCAGCTGTCTCCAATCACAGCTGTTCACATGTAAACAGGGAAATGCCGGTTATCGGCATTTCTCTCCTCTTGAGGTGTCACACTGAGAGAGCCGGTAATGGGCATTCCACGGAGGGAACATGTACACTGATGATCAGTGTACCCTGATGATCAGTGTAGCCCCAGCAGTGCCAGCTGTCAGTGCTCATCAGTGCCACATGCCAGTGCCCATCAGTGCCACATCAATGCCACATATCAGTGCCTACCAGTGCACATTAATGCCTAATATCAGTGCCCATCTGAGCTGCCTTTCGGTGTCACCCATCAGTGCCAGTCAGTGCCACCTATCAATGCCAGTCAGCGCCACCTAACAGTGCCAGTCAGCGCCACCTAACAGTGCCAGTCAGCGCCGTCTAACAGTGCCAGTCAGTGTCGCCTATCCGTGCCATATATCAGCGCTGCCTTTCAGTGCTTATCAGTGATGCCTGTCAATGCCCATCAGTGCCACCTACCAGTGCCTCCTCATCAGTGCCACCTATCAGTCTCCATCAGTGCAACCTATCAGTGCCCATCACTGCAGCCTCATTAGCGCACATCAGTGAAGGAGAAAAATCACTTATTTACAAAATTTTATAACAAAAACTAAGAAAAACATTTTTTTTGTCAAAATTTTCAGTGGTTTTTGGTTTAAGAAAAAATAAAAAAAAACCAGAGTTGACTAAATGCCACCAAAATAAAGCTCTGTCACAAAAAAAGATACAAATTTCATATGGGTACAGTGTTGCATGACCGCGCAATTGTCATTCAAAGTGCAACAGCGCTGAAAGCTGGAAATTGGCCTGGGCAGGAAGGGGGTATAAGTGCCGTGGTAAATGTACACCAACTAGGGCCCCAACAAGCGCCCAGACGAGTAATTTATATATATATATATATATATATATATATATATATATATATACAGTTGTGTCCAAAATTATTCAACCCCCACTGAAATTGAGTGTTTTGGCCAGTTTGACATTGCTTTTGATCATTCAGTCATCTTGCTTACATTTACATTAAAGAGGCACTTGTAGGTCAGACAAATATAACATAACAGTTATAATGAAATAACCACAAATGTCTTTTCTGTGCTCACAGCATTATCAGTTTTATTCAACCCCCAAGTGACATTCAATCTTAGTACTTAGTACAGCATCCTTTTACAGTTATAACAGCTTTTAAACGTGAAGCATAGCTTGACACAAGTGTCTTGCAGCGATCTACGGGTATCTTCGCCCATTCTTCATGGGCAAAGGCCTCCAGTTCAGTCACATTCTTAGGCTTGCGCACTGCAACTGCTTTCTTTAAGTCCCACCAGAGGTTCTCAATCGGATTTAAGTCTGGTGACTGCGATGGCCACTCCAAAATGTTCCAGCCTTTCCTCTGCAACCATGCTCTAGTGGACTTGGAGGTATGCTTGGGATCATTGTCCTGTTGAAAGGTCCAACGTCTCCCAAGCCTCAGGTGTGTGACGGACTGCATCACGTTTCCATCCAATATCTCCTGGTACTGAAGAGAATTCATGGTACCTTGCACACGCTGAAGCTTCCCTGTACCTGCAGAAGCAAAACAGCCCCAAAGCATGATTGACCCTCCACCATGCTTCACAGTAGGCAAGGTGTTCTTTTCATCATAGGCCTTGTTCTTCCTCCTCCAAACATAGCGTTGATCCATGGGCCCAAACAGTTCTAATTTTGTTTCATCAGTCCACAGAACACTATCCCACAACTTTTGTGGTTTGTCCACATGGCTTTTGGCATACTGCAGTCGACTCTTCTTATTCTTTGGAGACAGCAAGGGGGTACGCCTGGGAGTTCTGGCACGGAGGCCTTCATTACGCAGTGTGCGTCTTATTGTCTGGGCTGAAACTTCTGTACCCACATCTGACAAATCTTTTCTCAGTTCCTCAGCAGTCACACGGGGACTTCTCTCCACTCTACGCTTCAGGTAGCGCACAGCAGTCGAAGTCAGCATCTTCTTTCTGCCACGACCAGGTAGCGTTTCAACAGTGCCCTTTGCCTTGAATTTGCGAATGATGCTTCCTAAGGTGTCTCTTGGTATGTTTAACATCTTTGCAATCTTCTTATAGCCATTGCCCTTCCTGTGAAGAGAAATCACCTCTTCTCTTGTCTTCCTGGACCATTCTCTTGCCTTCACCATGTTTGTAACCACACCAGTAAATGTCTAGAAGGAGCTGAGTATCACAGTCATTTTAAAGCTGCCTAATTGGTGCTTATTATGCTTGATTGCTGCTCGGTGACATCCACAGGTGTTTTCAATACCTGATGGAAAGCACCTGTATGAACCTCTGTTCTTCAGAGTGGTAGTCTTTAAGGGGTTGAATAATTGTGGCAATGAAGAAACCACATAAGAACCATTTACTACTGTATTACATAAACAATTGATGTCATTTTAGTTGCATTTGGGTAGTTACAACGTCCTTGTAGGATTTGATTCTGAATACAATTCCAAATGTACACTATAGTCCCTAAACCCCTTTACAGCATTGGGGGTTGAATAATTTTGGACACAACTGTATATATATATATATATATATGTGTGTATCTCCTGGAGTGATACTAAAAAGGGCATTATTATGTACATACCCACCTTTGCACATTCCCTATTTCACAATACCTCATTCCATATGCCGTGCTGAACATTCCCTATTCCACAATGCCTCAATCCACATACCATGCTATACATTCCAAATTCCTCAATGCCTCCATCCACATACCACACTATATATTCCCTATTCCACAATGCCTCCATCCACATACCATGCTGTAAATTCCCTATTCCACAATGCCTCCATCCATATACCAAGCTGTACATTCCCTATTCCACAATACCTCATTCCATATGCCATGCTGTACATTCCCTATTCCACAATACCTCATTCCATATGCCATGCTGAACATTCCCTGTTCCTCAATGCCTCAATCCACATACCATGCTGTACATTCCCTATTCCACAATACCTCATTCCATATACCATGCAGTACACTTTCTATTCTAGACCCCTTCTGTATGCCATGCTGTATATATGTTCCTTATTCAACACCCCCTCATTCCACACTGTGCATTGCTTATCCTACATCTCATTCTGTATGCCATGTTTTACGTTCCCTATTCCATACCAGCTCACACTACAACCCTTGTTATACATTTTATATTCCACATGCCTCATTCTTCACGTTGTACTGTAAATCCCCTAAGCTGCACCATCTTCCTCCCTGTGGCATGGTATACATTCCCTCTTTTCATTGTCTTATCTTATTTTGCTGTGCTCTGTATTGTATATTTATACTCTGGCCTATTCTGTATGCTGTGTTGCCCATTTTATATTCTACACCAGTCCATTCTAAACAATGTGTTGTATTCACCGTTGCCCTCAATATCAACGCCATACTGTAGCTGTCATCATATCAGTCATTGTGTCTGCATCAGTCATCATTAATATCACCACATCAATCATATCAATATTAGTTATATATCAGCCTTCATGTCTATATCTGTCTTTACTAATATCACTGCCATATCAATCATGTCAATATCAGTCGTATCATATCAGTCATCATTTTGGTCTTCATGTCTATATCAGTCATCATTAATATCACCACCATATCAATATTAGTCATATCATATCAACCTTCATGTCTATATCAGTCTTTGCTAATATCACCACCATGTCAATATCAGTCATATCATATCCGTCATCATATAGGTCTTCATGTCTATATCAGTCTTTGTGTCCATATCAGTCATCATTAGTACCACTGCCATATCAATCATGTCAATATCAACCATAGACATGAAGACTGATCTGATGACTGATATACCAACCTTCTTGTCTATATAAGTCACCATTTATATCATCTCCATATCAATCATGTCAATATCAGCCATATCGTTTCAGTCTTCATGTCTATATCAGTCATTTCATATCAGTCCTCATGTCTATATCAGTCTTCAGGTCTATATTAATTTTCATTAATATCATAGCCATATCAATCATGTCAATAACAGTCCTACTGTCAGGGAAATTGTAGGCATAGTGGTGCACAAAGATGTGCGCATGCTCTTCACAATGCTCGAGTGACAACTAGACGTGCTGTAACTCGTGCACAAATCTGCTCAAATGAGCATGCACATTAGCGTGAGCGAGCTTGAATACTTGGCGCTCACTTGTTTATTCAAAGTGGCTCCAGAGACCAGAAGATTGCTGAATGGTAGTCAGCTTCTACTGTTTGTGACCTGATACTGTACTACCCAGCTTTTCTTGACCCTGCTTGCTCCTGACAAATCGTTGCCGACTCTGGCTTGTGACCTTACTCTGCCTTCTGCCTGCTGTTCCGGTACCTTCCCTGCTCCAACAATACTGACCCTGGCCTGGCTCTGTTTTGGTTCTTGATATTGTACCTCTGCTGTTTGGCTGATACCAATTCCTACTTGCCTGACTACCCGAGATCCGGCATCTGTCTGCTTGCTGCCCGTGGTTCTGCACCTGCTGTGGTGTCCTTTCATAAATCAGCTCATCGATCTGCTTGCTGTTCAGTATCTGCTGCAAGGTTCTTCTGGCCAGCATCTCCTACAAGCAGGGGCGGACTGACCGTTTGGAAAGTCAGACACTGCCCAAGGGCCCGGGGTCAGTAGGGGGCCCCATGAGATGCCCCTGGTACCTTTTTCATAGGCTTTATTGAGTCTGGGCAAGGACACAAGGGCCCCATGATCCTCTATTGCCCGGGGGCCCCATGAATTGTCAGTCCACCCCTGCCTACGAGGCACCCATGCCACTCCTTGCCCTGTTATATCCTGTCACCATCTTCAGGAGAAACCGGTCAGGAGATGTAAGGGAAAGCCCTCTCGTCAGCTCGGCCTCAACCAGGTACGTGACACACATATCAGTTATCATATAAAACTTCATGCCTGTATCAGTCTTCATGTGTATATTAATCATCATTAATATCACCACCATATCAGTCATTAATAATATTACCACCATACCATATCAGTCATCAATATCAGTCACTGCCAATATCAGTTCTTCACCTACTATAGTAATTAAGGTGTTGTACAATGTTTTTGTTTGTTTTTTTTTGCTCTGCGGCCCTGTGATTACTAGATATGCCCCTGCTTTGCTTTCCTGCCATAGTCTGGGCACAAGTGCACTTTAACAATACCCATTAAGCCAGTGCCAAATTTATAAGGGGGCAAAAGGGGGCAATTGCCCTGGGCCCTCCCAACAGAAGGGACCTCCCTCTATCCAAAAATCTAAAACAGAAATATGAAAAAATTATCTAAAAATAATAAAATATAAAATATGTAATAAAACATTACTTTCTTTTATTAAATGTAACTTGGGAAGTAATGTATTGCTGGCCATCATCTGAAAAAGTCTTTACTCTGGACTGGAATATTGTATCGTTTTTAAAAACAAATTTTGGCAGCTCAAGCAAACCACATATAGAGCACTATGACTGCTTGTGTGTGTGCACACATGACCTCAAAATAATGTTGTGTCAGGCATTAAAACATTTTGTGACCAATTATGTGTACCACCCCTCTAGTTAGCCAGCAGGAGCTAGTTAGTTTTTTCTAGAGAGGAAGTTTGGATACCAGCTTGGCAATGAGTCAGCCTGGGTGTGAGTCAGCCAGGTTACACCAGGTTAGGGCTGAGGGCTCTGCAGATCAGTTCACCGATACCTCCACCTGCTCTAGAGTCTTGAGAACGTTCTAGAAGGCAGTGGGTGGGAGTTAGAAAGGGCTGATCTGCACACTTAAGGGACTCAATCCCCAGTCAGATGGCTTGGCATGGGACCAGGGCAGCTTATATATGTGTGACTGAGCCTGCTCAGCAGCAAGAGAGTTCAGGTGGAAGATGGGGTGAGTGGCTGACAAGCAGGAGCTTGGGAGGGAACCCAGTGGGAAGGTGCCTACCTCCAGGCTGGATATGAAAGGAGGATCACTTGAACTCACCTGTCCCCAGAGAGAGGACCACCTGTAGAGCCAAGGAAGGAGACAACCCAGCAGAAGGCCTGAAAGCAGTCATCAACTCAACAAGCCTGCAGGCAAGGAACAGTGAGTAATCCTACACCCCTTGGCCAGATAAGCGGAGAGGGTATTCTGGTGGGAAACCTGACTAGCCCTCATCTGGGACTGTGCACTTAAAGTGACAGATTCTGGGACCCTTTGCTCAAGGATTCCCTCAGTACAGCTGGATGAGAAGAGGATTCATCTGTGGTCTAGGGTGGTACACCAGGAGAGGCTAGAGAAGCTCTCCAAGAAGAGACCTACTGTAGAGACCTGTATATAGTTATTCAGGAGTTGTCCTCAGTTGCAATTTCCTTAGGCATCCCGTACATCCCTCAAACCAATCCAAGTGTATTACCCCTTAATAAAATCACAAAAAACAAGCCTAAGGACTGGCTACTGTCTCCCGTGTGGAAGTTTGGAGAAAGGAAATACGTGTTGCCCTTCTCTGCAGGACTATAGGGTGACCCAAAACTCAGCCACTCCTAATGGGGTAGTACTACATATGTATATAAGGTCCCCCCCCAAACGTTATGTGCTCTTGGTCCCCTAAGGTATAAATCTGGCCCTGCCTTTAGCCAGAAAAAGGTATTTATTAGGAAAACAACATAGTATCCTCTTCATCTATATATCACATTAGGATAACATACAACTTTAGTGTAGGTGTGATCTGTTTACCGGAAAAGTTACAGCTCCTGATTCTCCTGCGTAAACACTGATCATCACTTATTCAGACGCCAATTTATTTTCCCCTCTGCCGGAAGAACGATGCGTTGGAGATTGTCACTTTATAACCATTTACAATGTCTTGTAAATTATAGTTAATTTTGTGTGTCTCCAGCAGGGCTGATAAACTGCCATAAGAAATCATTAGCGTAGATATAACACAATAAATTGTGATTATATTGATAAGCAGCCTGCATGCTACACGCGGCCCCTTCGTGATGTTTCCAAATGTATAGCATCTTGATGTGCAGGTTTATTGCTTTGTACCGTTGCAGTTCCATTACAGAACTGCTTGTGTCTGCATAATCCGAGTTGTGTATGTTCGAGGTTTTTTGCTAAAGCTGCATTTGCTGGGAGAAAACCTTTCCTAACTAGATCCTGTCGGAATTTTCTTGAACGCAGAAGAAAAATGAACACACCTATTTCATATACTGGCATGGTAAGTTAATAGGGTACTCCAAATAGAAAAGGGTTAAACGTCTTTGTAAAGGATGGCAAAAAAACTTTGTTGGCCATACTTCTGTTGCGGTCACAGGAGTGCACTTACTCTGCTGTGACCGAGAATCAGCCTATAGCGAGCTGTTTCCAGCTATCAGCTGACGTGGCAGGGCAACTCAAAGCTCTGAGAGGATCCTGATAATATTGACAGCTGATTGACAGCTGGCTCAGCCTTCAGAACGTAGCTGAGAGCTGGCGCTAGCTGTGCCTACCCCCTCCCCTTCCCGCTGCTCCAGTGAGTGCTGGAGGAGCACAACTGAATTTGATGAATGAGGCCCTATTCATATCTGTGTGTTCCAAGAATGCACTCAGAAGTATGCAAAAAATGCACACACATTGCAGTCTTGCACACTTTCAACATTGCTATGTGCGTGATCCAAAAATATCAAAATTGACCGCCTAAGGTGCATTTTGGAGGCAGAATGGCATCAGAGACTTGTAATTTGGTTGCTTAGCCCAGGGTGCCAGCTCATTGGTCAGCCTGGGTGATTTAGGGAGTAAGCAAGTTTTTGTTTATCAAGGGGTCCCATCCTGGGGTACACAAATCCCTGGGGGTTCTTATTTGTGAATTGTGGCAAATTTGTGCCTTTTCCCACAATGGACAAAAATGCACAGCTCATTTGCAGATGTGCAGTGGTACCATTAATTCCTAATGGCCTGTACCTGCCATTAATTCTTAATGGCACTCCTACACATCCAGCTAATGAGTGTGTGAGCCATGTGTTTTGGTGCAGAGTGATCTTAGGCAGTCTTTTGAAATGAATGGACTGCATGTATAGCGCTCCATTGCATCTGCATTTGTGTGAACTTACCCTTAGGGCAGCCATTCTCAACCTTAACATGGAGGAACCCTTAAAAAAAACATTCAAGTCTCAGGAAACTCCTGCTAATAGTTATTGTATCTACAGCTCATGGTACATTAGCATGATGGTCATTAGAAAGGATGTCCCTCACATTTTTCTTAAGTGGGAAGAATCCCCTCTAACAGATAGGTAAAAGATCAATGGTTTCAATGAATACTTATTTGAGAGGCAGAGATTTGTAAGCAGGGCCCTGAGTGGCTCCCAGCAATGGTCATGCCCCAGGGTTCAATGTTGGGTCCCTTACTTTTTAATATATTTATAAACAATATAGGGTCTGAGATTAAAAATCCCATTTCAGTCTTTGCAGATGACACCAAGCTGTGCAGTGGAATAACGTCCTTACAGGATGTCTTCAACTTACAAGCCAACCTCAATGCATTGAATAATTGGGCAACTATGTGGCAAATGAGATTTAATGTTGATAAATGTAAGTTTATGCACTTGGGGGCTAAGAATATGCATGTATCATACATACTAGGGGGGGTATGACTGGGGGAATCAATGGTGGAGAAGGATCTGGGGGTTCTGGTAGATCACAAGCTTAATAATGGCATACAAAGCGAGCAAAATCCTCTCTTGTATTAAAAGAGGTATAGACTCCAGAGAGAGTGTGAGAGAGAGAGAGAGAGAGAGAGAGAGAGAGAGAGAGAGAGAGAGAGAGAGAGAGAGAGATATCATTTACCCCAGTACAAATCATTAGTAAGACCTCATCTGGAATATGCAGTTCAGTTTTGGGCACCAATTCACAAAAAGAACATTGGGGAACTTGAGAAAGTACAGAGAAGGGCAACTAAACTGATACGAGGCATGGAGGAGCTCAGCTATGAGGAAAGATTAGGGGAACTAAATGTATTCTCTCTTGAGAAGAGGAGATTAAGGGGGGATATGATCAACATGTATAAATACATCAGTGGTTCATATAGTGAACTCGGTGTAGAGCTATTCACCCTGATGTCAACACAGAGGACAAGGGGGCACTCTTTACATCTGGAGGAAAAGAAAAGAAATCTCCAAACATGGAAAGGTTTCTTCACAGTGAGAGCTGTGAAAATGTGAAATAGACTCCCTCAAGAGTTGGTACCGGCCAGCTCAGTGTATTGCTTCAAAAAGGGCCTGGATTATTTCTTAGATACACAGACTAACTGGATACTAACATTTATATGTAAAGTTGATCCAGGGAATATCTGCTTGCCTCTCAGGGGATCAGAAAGGAATTTTTTTCCTAGCAGGTGCAAATTGGATCATGCTTTGCTGGGGTTTTTTTTTTGCCTTCCTCTGGATCAACTGTGGGTATAGGATTATAACTTTTTTTTTTCTATGGTTTAACTGGATGGATTTTTGTCTTTTTTCAGCCAGACTAACTATGTAACTATGAGAAGGGCCCCATCCACCATCCT